TAGGAGTCACTTGTTCCCTAGCTTTGACTTAAAGAGTCCAGTAAGACAAAAAAAAATCCTGAATTATTACCTGTATTACTAAAAATTGAGATAACAAGGTCAATAGGTTTAAGAGTGTCCAGCCTAATAGTCAAAATACCAAAATTATGGACACTTACATGTACTCATTGACCAAGATTTAGCAGCCCTTAGTGACTTTGTCTCCAAATTAGACGATTCTTTATGTTCACTGACTGAGATGGTTTTACAAAACCGGCAGGGTCTAGATCTCCTGTCCATAAAAAAAGAGGCTTTTGTCTGGCATTCGGAAAAAAAATTGTTGTTTGTATGCCAATCATTCTGGGGTTATCAGACAAAGTATGGCCAGCCTTAAAAGGCAGCTACAGGATCAAGAACAAGCCAGACAAGCTGAACAGGATTGGTTTGAGCGATGGTTTTCTCTATCTCCCTGGTTGACAACGTTAATCATAGCAGCCTCCAGACCTCTGTTAATCTTACTTACTTGTTTAACAATTGGACCTTGCATTATACACAGATTAGTATTGTTATACTAAGATGCTAAAAATTAAAATAATTGATTAAAAGATAATTAACAAAAATAGTTACTTAAAATATATTTATTAGTAATATTGTCATTCTGTACTTAGCTCATTACCCTAGTAACCAAGCACCAACCACATAGTTATAAATTAACTGACCACGTCATTCTGCTGTTCTGTAATGTGTCATCCCCCCCACCTTAGTGACCTGTGTGCTGTGTCAATTTTGTTCCCCTTGTAAGAGACAAATGATGCTGCGTCAACCACTGTTCCCTTTATGAGAGACAAATGTTCCTGAAATTGGCAGACCAAGGGCTATGAGTTGGCTAACCACCCACTGTGAAATGCCTCTGACCTCAAGCAAAAGGGAACAAAGGCCCACCTTATTTCTGTTTCTCATCACTATGTACTTAATGATCAACGAGCTAATCATAAATGAACTATAAAAATCAGTCAAAACTCTAACTCAGTTGCACAGCTTTGCAAATTCCATCTGCACTGTGTCACTGGGCCAGCTAAAATAAAAGTGCTTCTTTTAAAAAAGATGTCTTGCCCCGTTTGTCATCTTGGGGTCTTGCCCCATTTTTCATCATGGGGCCCTGTTTTTTGAGTAGAGTACAACAAGTATATTATGTCAAAGACCAGGTTCAAACAATAAAACTCATGGTTTTAAGGACCTAAGTTTATGAACGAATACCACTGCTTGAAAATTCCATGAGCCAATGATTTGGATCGCTTACAAAATCAGTGGGGAATGTTATACTAAGATGCTAAAAATTAAAATAATTGATTAAAAGATAACAAAATAATCACTTAAAAAGATAGTTATTAGTAATATTGTCATTCTGTACTGAGCTAATTACCCTAGTAACCAAGCACAAACCACATAGTTATAAATTAACTGACCACATCGTTCTGCTGTTCTGTAATGCGTCATCCCCCCCACCTTAGTGACCTGTGTGCTATGTCAACTTTTGTTCCCCTTGTAAGAGACAAATGATGCTGTGTCAACCACTGTTCCCTTTATGAGAGACAAATGTTCCTGGAATTGACAGACCAAGGGCTATGAATTGGCAAACCACGCACTGTGAAATGCCTCTGACCTCAAGCAAAGGGAAACAAAGGCCAACCTTATTTCTGTTTCTCATCACTATGTACTTAATGATCAATGAACTAATCATAAATGAACTATAAAAATCAGTCAAACCTCTAACTCAGTTGCACAGCTTTGCAAATTCCATCTGCACTGTGTCACTGGGCCAGCTAAAATAAAGGCACTTCTTTTAAAAAAGACATCTTGCCCCATTTTTCATCTTGGAGTCTTGCTCTGTTTCTTCATCATGGGGCCCTGCTTTTTTTGAGTAGAGTACAACAAAGAGCTGAGTGCCAATTAGTGACAAGGGAACTATATGGCAAGGGAAACTTAGAGTGTGAAGTCCTTGGGTGTCCCCGCCTCACCAGAAGGAAATTTTTAATTGGATTAGGAATTTGTTCCATTTCAGCAATAATTGTCACCCCCATGCTTGGCAATATGATCACTTTCAGAATTCTGCATTTATATGAGTCTGAATGAGTAGCAAACTTGTCTTGGAGAACTGATGCATGCTTTTATTACATCCTTACTCTGTTGCAGACCATTACTATCATTTAAATGCAATGTCTTCACTTTACATGGTAACTGTGCTCCTTTGGTGTTCACATACTGGGTTTCTAGGTGGAAAATTAATAGAAACGAGTGAAAGTCATGAAAATGAAGTCTGCTGCCTCTAACACAGACTTCCAACTCTCTGTTCTGTTGTGTCCCACCCTGGCCTGTTCTCAGAATATTTTCTGACATCAGTGGATATTTATTCCTGGAGGATTGAACCTGAATCCTGAAAACATTTGCAGCCCATTATGGAAAGAGTCCACTGATCCTTGAAAGAAATCAGGGTAGCCATGAAATGGCAGGGATAAATAAGAAATTTAGAGAAGAGCTAACACCACCACTTCTCAAAATTTAATGAAATCGAATGGTAAATGGTACTTCCCAATTCATTCCTGGAAGCAAGCATTACCCTGATACCAAAACCAGAGAACAATCCAAATAAGAAAGAGAATTACAGACCATTCTGGCTAGTGAACGTTGAAGTAAAAATCCTCAGTAAGATACTGGCAAACAGACTGCAGAATATCATCAAGAAGGTTTTACACCACGATCAAGTGGAATTATTCCCTGGGACACAGGGGTGGCTCAATATACATAAAACCATACCTATAATACACCGTATTGACAAATCCAAAAGCAAATATCATTTGATCACTTCAATACATGCTGAAAAGATTTTGCCAAAGTCCATCACCCATTCATAATAAAAAACCTACAAAAATTGGACAGATGATCTTTATCTCAATGTGATAAAAGCCTTTTATTACAAACCAACAGTCAACCTCATACTAAGTGGACAAAAACTGAAAGCTTTCACTCTAAAATCAGGAACAAAACAAGGATGTTTACTGCCTCCAATCTTATTCAATATAGTCCTGGAAACTAGCTGGAGCAATTAGACAAGAGAAAGAAATAAAAGGAATAATGATGGAAAGGAAAATGTTAAACTATCATTATTTGCAGAAGACATGATACTCTAATTAGAAGACCCTAAAAATTCCACCAAAATACTTCTAGTTTGAGAAGCAAATTCAGTAATATAGCTGGTTACAAAGGCAACACTCAACAATCCATAGACTTCATAAACAAGAATAAAAAAACTCATGGAAAGAGAATTCAAGGAAACAAAAACTTTTACAATAGCATCCAACAAAATGAAATACTTAGGAATCAATCTAACAAAGGATGTAAATGACCTCTACATTGTAAACTACAGGACTCTCAACAAGGAGACTGAAGATATTCTAAAATTAAGAGCTATCCCATAGTCTTGGGTAGGGAAATTCAATGTAGTGAAAATGACCATACTTCCAAAGCTATTGTACACATTCAGTGCAATCCCAATCAAAACCCCATAGCATATCTCAAAGAATTACACAAAATAAATCCTAAAATTCATCTGGAACCAGAAGAGACATAGAGTAGCAAAGGTGATCCTGGCCAACAAAGAAAAGATAGGGTTCATCAAAATCCCTGAGTTGCAATTGTACTATAAAGGTATTGTGATTAAAAAAAAAAAACAGGTGTGGTACTGACAAAAAACAAAACAAACAAAACCAGACCCAAAGATCAAAGGAACAAATTAGAAGATGGAGAAACCACCCCAGACCACTAAATCATCTTATCTTTGACAAAGGTGCCAAACAGAATCACTGGAAAAAGAGCAGCCTCTTTAATAAATGGTGCTGGAAAAACTGGCTCTATACATTCTGAATATTATCTTTCAATGTGTATTAAGCTAAGATCAGAATAGATGAAAGATCTTATATTAAAACAGAAACATTAAATCTGCTTCAAGATAAAGTAAAACTCTTGAAGTCATGGATGTAAGCAAAGACTTTATGAAGAAAACATGGATTGAAGAGCAAAAATCAAAGATAATTAAGTGAGAATCTCACCATACTGAAAAACTTTTTAACAGCAAGTGAAATCACTAACACAGTGAAGAGAAAACCCACAACATGGGAGAAAATGTTTGCCAACTGTTCCTCAGACAAAGTATTACTATTGAGAGCACGGAAAACTAAAATATTTCAGTCTTCCCAGATTTAAAGACCCAATCCAAAAAAGTGCATCTGAAGTGAAATACACAGTTCTCAGATGAAGAAATAGAAACAGCAAATAAATATGTGACAAAATGTTCTGCATCACTCGTCATTTAACAATTGGAAATTAAATAACACTGATATGTCACCTTGCCCCAGAAAAAATGCCTACTGTCAAGAAATCAAGCAATAAGGAATGCCGGAGGGGTTGTGGGGAGAAAAGCAACCCTTTTCCATTGTTGGTGGTAAAGCAACCACTGTGAAAATCAGTGTGGGAATTCCACACCAACTAGGTCTACAGGTCCCACTCAACTCAGGTATTCTACTTCTGGGTATCTACCCAAAAGAATAAAAATCATCATACCACAGTGATATATGTGCACCCATGTTTATAGCAGCACAGTTTGTGGTAGCCAGATCTTGGATGGAATGTAGGACCTCTAGCTTGCCAGACAGGTGCTTAAGCTAAATCCCTGGACCACTTTTTTACTTTTTAACTTTCAAATAAAATGGGTTTGGGAGAAAAAACAAGGACTGAGGTAAAGACTTTCAGTGCAAATACTCATCAGATGAGCTGAGATCAACATTCCAGAAAACAGCCAGCTCCAGAAGCCTCCACCATGTTTCATTGGGGACCCTCAGTTACAGGGTGGATTTTTTTTCTGTCATTATTCTTGGTGGGGAAGGCAGGCAGGAGAGCGGGAGCCAATCAGTGATGAAGAGGCCGGCTGTAAGAACTGTCCAATCAGGCAGGCCAAGGTAGGCGGTCTCTTCCGGTGTCATGGTGTCAATTGCAAGGCCAGGGCAAAAAAGGGAGCACTAGATGTTTGCTAGACCACTATTTTTTGCTTCTGTTCTCCGTGGACTGCTTAGAAAGAACCTGGGAGATCTCCAAACTACACAATGGTGATGTTATGGGATGGGCGCAGTAAAATGGGGTGGAATCCGTTTGAGACTAGTTAGAAGTGGTGAGAAGGGGCTGGGGGTTTAGCTCAGCGGCATAAGTGCCTGCCTTAAAAGCAGGCAGTCATGAGTTTGATCTCCCCTACCGAAAAAAAGGAAAAAGAACAACAACAACAAAAAAAAGAAGTGGTGAGAAGCAGCTGTGCTGTCTAGAGCCTGTGTACTTAGCCTCAGATCCTGAGGTCCTCTAGTGCTAGCAGTGAGTCATCCTCTGTCCCTTTTACCTCTCTCTGGGTCCAGGACAGTTCTGGGTCCCTAGAACACTGTTGCAACTGTGATACCACCAGGCCACAATGCCATTTTTGAAATCGCCTGCTGCCCTTGTTCCTCCAACAGTCTGGGCCCAGGAAGGGGCATGAGGAGACCCTGATTCCAATGTGGTTTCAAGCTGGGTGCAGGTGTAATAAGCTGGGTCTCTGCCCTCATTTCTGTCAGCAACAAATGTGGAAGCCAGAAGTTTATAAATGTCTGTGATGCAGGACCTCATAGCCACAACTGCTCTCCTTAAACTTATGCAGTTATGTATTTTGTGATCGCCTAAATTTATATTACGTTCTCATATTTCCATGCACATGAAAGGTGGAGGCAAAGGTTCTGAGAATTCAGAGATGTGTAGTGATGTGCCTCAGTGGAGGAAGGCCTCCCAAACACCGGATGAACTGCTGTGTATTATACAGAACAATGCAAAGAATTTCTGAACATACTTTATGTGACACATGTGCTCATAAACTATGTTTGTGAGATCAGCCATAGAGGTTTAAATTTTGAGAAAAATGAAGCAGATATAAAAGTGTCATCAAGGGCAGGGTAAAGTGTGTTTGCTAAGGACAAATTCCAGAAAGGGCTGCCTGTTAAATTCTCTTTGAAAAATGCCTAAATTTAGTCATTTGCATGAACTTATACACATGATATCCTTCTGAATGGAAAGGAATATGGGTGTCATCTCTGAATTAAGAGGCGATTTAATAGCTTGGTTGATCATATACATTGTTTAAATATGGAAATGCTCTGAATGGACTTTGCTAAGTGGTGTAAAAGAGATGCCATAAATTGAAATTGTGCAGGGATATCAATAGCTTAGTCGTGAATGGTTATCTGCTTAGGGTGGATCAGAGGAGCATGGAAAGGATGTGGAATTGACTGGCAGGACTCAGTGTGCCAATAGCAGGACATACAACAGAGAGTCTTTTCCCTGAAAGTCAGGTAGTTCTTAGGGTAAGCATGAAGCTAAAGTTGGATTCTGATTTCTTCCTTGAGGTGAAAAACACCAGCTCTGGTAAGAATCATTATTCCACATCCTTGTCAACCCATGAATTCTGTGTTCTTCACTTGAGATCTAATTTTGATTATCTCTAATTATGACCCAGTGTCATGAAGGTGAAATTTGAATTTTTTTTGTAACAGGAATCAAACTCATGATCTCAAGCTTGCTAGGTAGGTGTTCATGCTGCTGAGCTAAATACCCCACTCTGAAAGTGTTTTCTGTATACTATGTATGATATCAACACTGTTCCTTAAGAAATTGTTGAATATTGTGGAATTTTTCTATATTGTATGGATATAATTTTTAAAGCAAACCAAAGGTGTCGTATGCAGTCACTTTTCAAGTTTCACGTTGTCTGTGGGGTGTCTCAGTCAGGGTTTCTCTATTTCAGACAGCTCTGTAAATTAGGCTAGCCCCAAACTCAAGGAAGTTCTCCTGCATCAGCCTCCCAAGATATATTTCTTGTATCTGAATGGAGAGTCATCACTTGGTGACACTGAGCTCTAATTTGAAACTTGTACCTGGTTTCATTGTTTATACATTTTTTTACATACAGCAGTTTTCCATGAACATTTGAGTTATTATTTATGTATCATATTTGATGTTATTTATGTTTTGTTCTATGAAACCAAATTTAAATATCAAAATGCTGCTTAAGTATAGTAAGAACAAAGGACTCAGTGGCCTAAATGAGATTTGAAGAGATATCATTGTTAGTACATCAAAGTGATTGATGAGATATTTGTCTGCCTCTGTGCTTTATGGATGCTGGTCCTGCAGGCTCTCACTATGAGCTCTGCTTTAGAGACAGCGCACAGGGACTCTTGCAGTGACTCAGCATAAGAATGAGTGCTCCTATTTGGCTGTTACATTAGCTGTGAGTTGCAATAGAGCATTAAATTTGCTGTCTCAAATAATGTGTATATACCAAAAATTAATCCCCAAGATGTGGAATTAAGATTGAAGAAATCAGTCTCCATTCAGCTGTTTTGTTTGATTTTATTTGTTTAGTTTAGTTTTGTTTTATTGAGACAAGTGTTCTCTATGTATATCAGCTAGATTTGAACCCTATATGGAGAACAGAATTGCCCTAACCTCAAAGCAGCACTCCTGCCTCAGCCTCTTGAGTGTTCAGATTATAGATATGTGTGTTTTTACCCTAGAAAATATTGAGGCTTGTAACTTAGCTGTGTTGTAGCTTGGCATAATAGATGCCATCTTGAGCTTTAGTACCCTGTATTTCACCCAGAAAAATGGAAAATTACTCAGTGTTGAAGTCCCAAGAGAAAAGCAAAATGAGCTGTACCCAAAGAAAAAAAATTAACCTGCTCAACAAAAGAAGCAGAATACAGTTGTCATCCAACCATTATTATAAGATTCTAGCTAAATTATTTCCAACAGGATCTTTTTGTGATTTTATCTTTTAAAACATCTGTAACTTTCCAGTTCAGAGCCTCTTGTTTAGATCCTGATATGGGGGTGGGGGTTCTGTATACAGGTGGTCCTGAGACCAGCTATGAAATTCCACATTTCTCAATTGGGTTCCTATATTGGCTTCCTATATTATTGTTCACAAACTCACCTCAAGCTGCAGAAACCTTTACTGACACAAGCAAAACTCAGGATTAAATGACAGTGTCACTGAAATGAAAGAATAATTGTGAAAAAGAAAGGAGAAAAAAGACAAACACCATGTGCTATAATGCCCACCTATTTTCCCAAACAATGAAGAAGCTGAAACAGGAGAATGGGCTTGTATTCAATGACAGCCTAACCTGCATAGTGAGTGCAAGGCTGGCCAGAACTCCAAAGTGAGACTATGTCTTTAAATCAAAAAACTAAAATGAAAAAAAAGAACAACAAATTAGACAGAAAGACTATTGAAAACAAACAAAAATAGAGCTGAGTGAAATTTGACTTATGTAAAATGGGAATTATTGAATGATGCTGGCAGAGGAAAGAAGGCCAGGTAGTGGCATGCAGTGGCATTCAGGAGGTAGTGACAAACACAGGCTTAGGAATGGCACCTATTGTGCTACAGCACAGCAGTGACCTCCTTCCTCCAATACATTTACAGTTCACTAGAATGAGGACTTCTAAAAGCTCATGGAAATGTTAAACTCAGGGCAAACAAACAGCTTGAAATTCAGGCTTTGGAACAATGCCTTTAGCAGACATTTCATATTTAAATTGAGATAATAGAAATATAATCCTGCCCTGCTTGATATCAAATGCACCCTTTAATGGCTGACAATATTGAGAAATGAAGTCACAAACCAAAAAAGTTCAAAAATTGTCTTAGAAAAAAAGAGAGAATAGCTCTGAATTTTCAGGAGTGGTCTTCAGTGTTTTGGCCACAGTCATATTGTCAGCGATCATTTATACAGGATAGTCACAATGTGGGCAAACTGTGGGTCTCAAACTACAATCAATCTATAAGCTTATAGGTGCTTAACTAATATTATTCATCAGGGGAACAAGTTAGCCAGAAAAGGTATGTGGAAAGAGCCAAGGCATTTTGTGGGAACAATAGTCCAGTTGTTCTGGTCATTGAGTATGGTAATTGATGCCTATCTGCACTTCCTGGAGGAGGTGGTGGTAACTGTAGTACATTTCAAGCTGTTGTTTTTCTCTTCAGGAGCATGTAGACATGGTCACTGCATCTTCACCTTCAGGTCTGGCTTTCTTCAGCTGTGCCTGTAGCAGTGATTGTTGTATTTATTTTTTTGCATTGACTCTTTGAGGTTCCTGTTCCTCTCTGATTGTATATCAATTTTTGTCTACATTGAAAACCTTTGCTAAAATCACAGTACTATTTGAATGAATAAAGTGAAATATTCATTAATACACGCCAAGGATTTAGCTCAGCAGACAGAAACGCCTGCCTGGATAGTGGTAGATTGTAACTTTGATCCCTAGTACCTAAAAAAAAAAGTAATTTAAACTGCAAGGAAAGAAAATAATTGCATTTGTGAAAATGTAGGTTTACAAAATTTATACTAAATATGTCAATGGCAAATTAAACATTGTTAATAGTCATATTTTGTATCTAAAGCTGTTTGGGCGGGGGATTGAGCTCAGTGATACAATGAGCTGCCTGGAGAGCAGAAGGTCATGAGTTCAATCCCTCATACAGAAAAAAAATTCACAGTTGTCATTGATGCAGTGCTATGAGCACATTTATTGAAAGTGATACTTGGTATTTAATACGCTCAATGTTTCTTTTGTGATCTATGAAATACCTGCAGATAACATGGCAACTACAATGAATGATATTCTGTCCCCTATAGGATTGCTATTTTCTGAGTTGTTTTTATTTTTTGTTTTCCCACAAACTTGAAAATTGAAAATGTTGGCTGATGCTAGCTAGAAACACTGTGTTAATCATTTTTTCAATTTAATGTTATATTTCCCTATATCCATTAAGAATATTTTATTTGCTACAATTGGTCCAAGTCAAATTGATAAACAATTCTTAAAGTTACAGGCAGCTGAGTTAGTTAGAAATACAGGCAGCCATACCGTGATAAAGTGGAATGAAATTCCTGACCTTCTATGTCTGCGATGAGTTTGTGTTCTCTAAAGTGCAAGAATGAATTTTAGGAACAACAGAGTTGAAGAGCAGAATATATTTATTGAGAGAAAGAAAGTGATAATATTTTGCTCTAAATAGGATATT